TAATAGATAAAACTAGCACATTTAATCGCTCTTGTGACATAGTAGATCGCAAATAATTATTTATCAGCTTCAACTTCGAAAAACTTCTTTCAGCAGTGGCAACCGATATCAGAACTGTCAACAATATGCGATAAGCAACTTCTTTGTTTTGATAACAATCCTTCATTTGTTTCAAAAATCAAGCACTTCAATAGGCTTCCGAACTTTATTTGGTATTGATTCTCGGAGAATTTTCAATTCCATAAACAGATCATCACCAACTATTTCTGAATGCATACCATTCGTTAAAGAAGCCTCCAAGTTCGCACATGATCTCCTCCAAGAATCCTCGCTTACTGATGTCAGTTTTTAAATTAAACAAAAAACCTAAAAGTTTGTTCATACCTTTGAAATTGTTCAAACCTAGACTCGAGAGAAACTAGAGTTTGATCCATGAGTGTATTGAAGTAATCAATCATGAAGCTTTCTTCAGGCAAAAATAACACGTTTTCATTAGTTATCTCATTGTCTTCATCAAAATGTTTCTTTCTTCTAATGAAATGCTTTTTTAAAACACGAAATTCAGCTTTAATCTCCATCTCAGATGCAATTTGCATAGTTTTAGCCTTTGCTTCCTCAAAACCCGTCTCCTGGTATTGTTGAAAATATGTCATAAGCCCTTTCAATTGGTGAACTGCAGCATCAATATCTATGTTTTCGGACTGCAGGCTCTTACTTACTGTGTTGACAAAAAAAAAAAAATCATACCAAATAATCATACCAAACAAGAACTCAAAACCTCCAATTCCATGTGTTTCACTTAGAGCAAGGGATTTAGCATCACTTCGTGTTCTTGGGTCGTCAGTACTTTCAGCCAAATAAAGCAAAACTTCTCTGATTTCTAAGGCTTGAAACTGTATTGCTTTGACACATTCAACGTGACTTTCCCAACGTGTTTGAGACAAAGATTTAAGGGTTAAACCTTTAACCATCTTTGTCAATATGTCCCACCTATAAAATATATGTTGTTATATTGTTTCTAAAATAGAATTTGTTTAATAAAATAGTTATTATTTTAAAATATGCTCTTAACCAATATTCTTTTAGAGAAAATTCCATAAACATTACAAAAAACTTACAAATATTATTATCTTAAAAAAATATTGAAATTTTGTTTATTTATATATACTCTTTATATATAAAATAACCAAAACATGCCCCCATAATTTGGATTTCCTAATCTATCGCCTACCTCACCTATGTTTGGGCCGGCCCTGGTTCTAACCAGATATACCGTATAGGAGATCGAGATTGGTGGTATAAGATGTTATACTAGTATCACAATTCATTTAAATTTGAAAATGTGCGGGTATGAGTCGTAGACGTAAAAAAATATTGGGAGAATTGCTTTTATAATGCCAAGTCAATTAACATTTATCCCTTTAATGTTTTCTATTTTTTTGTCACTTTTTGACATAGTTGTACTTTTAAATCAGTTATGGCAGTTTTAAAATAAAATCAAAACTATTTTTTTTTTTAAATTTCGAAAATACCTAGAAAAGAAATAAAAATATTTTAGAATATCATTTAAGGAAAAAAAATATTTAAAAAATATTTTTAAAATCCGTTCTATGCAAGATAGAATGCGTGTTCTACAATCTACGTCTATGTACAATCTAAATTCTATAGTTCTTTACATTCTACCAGCCTGTAAAATTCATTTTCTATAGTTCTTTATATGTTCTACCGATTAGTAGAAAACGTATTCTATATGTTACCTATATTATATATTACCAGGCCCGGCTCTTCTTCAAGGCTTGTGAAGCATGGGCTTCAGGCCACAATTTTATATAAAAAAAAAATTTAGGGGCACACTTAACATCATATGCCAATTTTTTCATCTTTTTTAGTGGAATTTTCCTTTTTTTCGTTTATTTTGAGTTTTCAATTTTTTAGATAATTAGAAACTTGTTAAATTATTGGATTTTTATTATAAAACCCATATCATAAGGAGTTCTAAGTAAGATGTGGACATAACTAAATCTTTTTAATACTATATATAATTCTCATTATTCGGGAATAAGACACAATAATTTTCTCTCTCTTTCTTATTTACAATAATCTCTAGATCTTTTTTCTACCCCGGAAAATGTGAGATTTAGTCTAAAGTTTTTTTATTTTGGGATGATAAGTTATGTCTAAAGTTTTTTTTGTTGAAAAAAAAAACCTCGTTTAAACCTCCTTGGGTCTGCTTGGGATTTATGTCTAAAACACATGTTTATTCAAAGTTTATTCAAATTCATGGATTGCTTATCGAATATTGTTGACAATCCGAGTCTCAGTTGCCTTTGCAGACAGAAGTTTTTCAAAGTTGAAGCTGATAAAAAATTATCTACGATCAACTATGTCACAAGAAACGCTGAATGAATTATCAACGATATCTATTAAAAAAGATATGGTTGATAAACTCGACTATGAGAAGATTATGAATGAATTTGTTGGGAGGAAAGCTAGAAGATCTGTTTTTCAAAAATAGAGATATGTTGTAACAATTTTTTGTTTTTCTTTTTTTAGGGGTTTTATAATTTTTTGTTATTTTGAATATTTTAACATTAATTTACGGTTTTAGATTTTTTATAATTTAAAAGACCACATTTTTTAATACTTTAAGCCACTAAAAAGTTTGGGATGACACTGTATATTATGGTAAATTACAAGTTGTACTGAATACACAAGGTTCTATATTCTCGTAGAATATTAATTCTATTTATTAGACCAGGTTCTACGTTATTGTAGAATAGTTCTTCTACAAATGGTCTTCATTCTACATTAACTTAGAATATGTATTCTACCAAAATCTGAGAAAATCTAGGAAAATTGGTTAACATCCAGACTGAATATTTTTGAAAAATTTTCAATTTTTTTTTTGCGTTTTTTGTTTCTTTTTATTTTTTGCTGTCATCGCTATCTTCTTCTTCTTTTCCATTGATCAATCAGATTTTCTCTAAATTTACATATCTTCTGTTTCATACATGCTACATATCTATGTCATTTGTGGTTCATAAAAATTAGAGATAGATAAAAAGTGGATTTTTGTGACTGATGAAGAAAAATGAGCTAGGTTAATTACTGCTGAATAAAAATAACTGTGAATGACATTGTTGCAGTAGAATGAGGTTTGTACATGAATTACACATGTTTAGAGAATACATGGAAGAAGCTCTCGTTGAGATATTAATTAGGAGAAGAAGTGAGACAATAACAGACATTTATTTTTGGAATAAATATTATTAAATTTTAAATCATATATATGAAAAAAGTGAACTATCTCCATCTTTGTGTCACATCAGCAATTTTAAATATTATAGAAATGCTACATGTACTCAAAATAATTATTAACACAAAATGAATTAATATATTTAGCAATTTTTTTAATTATGAATCCACTTTAAATTTTTAATCCCATGGTAGTCAACCTACAATCTCTTCATATTCCTAACACTTAGTTCTTATTTATATATTTTTTATTTGCATTCTTGTCATTATTATCTCTTTATGTGATATTTGAAACGATTCATTTATTTTTATTCAGATTGATTTAAACATTGGATCACGTCCAACTATATAAATAAGTTTTTCACTCTATATTATAAATATAGTCGATCATTCTATATTTATTTTAGAATAGAGCATTTCGACCACTCTAAATTTTATTTTAAAATAGAATTACTTCAAATATATTTATAAAAAAGTCTTTCAACATATTTTTTGATCAAACAAATTAAAAAAAAAAACAAAAGAAAAACCCATGCGTTTGAGAAGCTGACACATGTCATTTCACATAACTATTAAATTATAAATTTTAAATTAAAAATTAAAAACTAATTAATACCTCTAATTTTAACATAACTTTTCTTTTTCATGTTTATCTCATATGTATTTATGTTCATAATTATTAAGTTACATTAAAATTAAGCCTTTCCACATTCCTAATAAAAATAAATAAACAACATTTCTAACATTTTGGTATTCGTCTAAAATCTTTTACTATTTTCTTGTACTAATTTAATACCTTTTCTTTGGGTTTATCCTCAACATGAACACTTTTTTCGAATCTTGTTCTTTGAAAAAATGTAAAGATGTAGCATTCTCTTCATTCAAAGATTTTGCAGTTTTTATGGGTTAACTATAATATTATTACAGCTGTATGTCATTGTGAAACATGAAGTACAGGGTAGTTCTTGCAGAATCATGGCAATTGTGCATGTCATATATATGAGAACATTAAAATTAGAGGTAATTATATGTTTCTAAGCAATTTAACCCAAAAATATGGTTTTTATCTACGTTTTTTTACTCATATCATGTTTATGATTTCTAGAATAGTAAAATAATTTTATACTTATCCTACTTCCAATCTTTAAAAAAAAATTATTTGTTTGATAAAGATTTTTTTAAAAAAAAATTATAATACCAAAAAAATCAAGTAAATTTCAATATTCTTATAATTAACTACCTATATATACAACACAAATATATTTTTAAAAATATTATGTGAAACAAAACTTGCGCATATGCGCGGATACAAACATAGTATATATTAATAATTAATAATATAAACATTTAAGGGTAAAATTGGTTTAATATTAATATAAACTTTAAAGGGACAAATCTTTTTCACAAAACATTAAGAATACAAATTTGGTCTGAATTTGCATTACAAAAGCAATTCTCCCAAAAAAAATTATTATACAGTACTTGAAAATTTTGAACCGAAGCAGAAATGGAAATGCAATGTCAAAAAACTCCAAAACCGAACCAGATTCTCATCCTGGACTTTGATGGTTTGACAAAATCTTAGTATGAACTTGAAAACTAACGCAGGAAATAAATTAACATAAACAAAATCTCATTAATTTGTTTTTATTATTTTTTGATGATTGTAATAACTATTGCATTCAATACATATATTAATTAATTTAGTTGTAAGCCATATAGCTTGCAAAACTCAAATCATTCTCTTAGAAGTTAATCTTTCCATCAAAAGTCTGTCCAAATCCCCAATTCGGTGGTATCACATTAATAAAATCTTTACTAACCCCATCACTTGTCATAATCCTCAACGATATACCTTGACCGGTTAACACGACTTTACTGGTCCAAATCTGTCCAAAAATCTTCGTCATCGGTATCCATCCGGTCTTACTTCCTTTAACCTCCACGGCCTTAATATCTCCGGCCCCGCCAACATTGTAAGGCAAGATCGTTAAGTGATTCTGTGGGCCTCTTTTGGTTTCGAACTTGACACCACCGGTTTTCGCACAAGGAACACGTCTGTATCTAAGCGGGACATTCTTGGCTTTGTCTTTTGCGATCTTGAGGAACATTGGTTGGGAGAGTTCAAAGTGTTTGTTTGGTGGGTTGCACGACTGGTCTTGGGTCTTAGAGTAACTTGGTGGACAAAAATTTGTAGCTGTGATATTGATCGACCCGGGCAAACACCATTGTGAATCACGAGCGCACATGATCTCATAACAAGCACCACACGTGTACCCGTCGTTAAAGAGCGCCGTGCTCAACGCCGTCGTGGCTAAACCGTAGCCTTCTTTGTTTGGGTCACCGTATCCACAAGCTCCGTCTATTAAAATTTATAATTGAAAAAAACTGAGCATGTAATAATAATATGTGTCTTTTTGTTTTGATTGTTTGTTTACTTTTGTGTTTCCATGTCATTTTTTATTTTTTTATTTAATTATTTTGAAAACAAAACATCATTTCAATAACCAAACTTACCTTGAGTGCCTCCACCATGAATGTCACCATAAAATGTGGCTCGTGCGTCATACCAAGCAGTGTCGAGTTCTTTGGTTCCACCACCACTGCGTGGTTCGGCTACATCACCGTAAATCATGGGCACGACCCATATTGCCATTATCATCATCAAAACTTTTGTACATATCATTTTCGCTGAGAGTTTTATGATCTCTCTTTTTAATGATACTTTTTTTCCTAACTTGGTTTGATGATTAATATTAATGGGAATATGGGTGTATATATATAGGTAAAGACATACAATTGATTATGGTAATAAAAGTAAATATATAGTAAAACCTTTGGAAATGTGCATATACAGATATACTTAATAAGTGGAATACACATTAGTTACTCTTTTTTTGGTCAAACAAATTAGTTACTTTATTAAAGTTTGTAAAGTCAAAAACCACTTTTGAATACAGTAAAATGCTATCATTATTATTCTAATTACATGTAACTAGTTTAGTTCTTTTAATCTATATATACACATATTACCATTATTTTCAAAATATGATACATTGGAAAGTTGATCATGATGAAGACTGACGACAAACATTTTAATTTCTTATAAACCTATTATATTACAGAAATATTAATACAAAGGTATCCTAACGTTTCAAAGTTCCTTTAAAAAAGCTGTAAGAATCTCCTAGACATTATGTATTCGGTTAGTTACATTATATCATGCAAATATCAGTAAATTGCGAATCGTCCATTCATAATTATGATACTTATTTTATATACTACGAACAACCAATCAATATTTTAATCAAAAAAGTATTGATAAAACGAGAAGATAAGTTTAAATTAGTTGGACTAAAAAAGTGGGTTGCATCAGAAATATTCATTTTATCAGCGATTACAAGAAATGGTAAGTATGAATCCGTATGATTTGTTTTAATTTGATTTAATGACAGTAGTTAAATTTGATAATTGATTGAGGAGTTTGCCTTTAAGTTAAAAATTAAAGCCTTTAATTTTAGATTCAATTTATTGATTTGATGAAGAAAGTTGTAATATCTTCCTTTCTTATATGTGTATTCAATAGTACTGAGTTAGTATTTATTAGGATCAAAACCTAATCTACATCACTAAAACGGTTACTGTCTATGTGCTTGTGGGATGGAATGTTTCTAATAAGGTTACTTGGATATTATACTGATATATCTTTGATTCTGTCGATCTCTTTTATCACCTTTTTGTTTCCTATATCCGAGCTTAGTTATCCTTTCTTTTCTCATGTGTTGAATATATAAACGTTGGGCTCTTCGATGTTTTTGGAACTCAATCGGATTTTTGTGATGTTGCTGACATAAAAGAAGAGGTTTTGTGGCTTCTAGATATGCTTGATTGGAAAGTGAAAACAAGCTTAACGCGCTCTCAGGTTTGTAGCCTAGTAATTTGTACTCTAATAGTCGTCGTCTCACATGCATATTAAATATGAGCTGTAATCGACTAAAAAAAACATATTCGGGGGAAAAAAATTGGATAATAACCGAACCACACAGAAATGCTTATGTCAAAAGAATAGTGAGGCTCTGGTTAAAATCTTAGTATGAAGCTAAAACCAAATGCACGAATTTAACATATATATAAAAAAAATCTTCTTTATTTTTAATATTTTTAATTAGTTGCAAGACTTAGCTAACCAAAACACAAAACAGTCTCCTAAAAGTTAATCCTTCCATCAAAAGTCTGACCAAATCCCCAATTCTTTGGTACCACATTAATAAAATCTTTACTAACCCCATCACTCGTCATAATCCTGAATGATAAACCTTGTCCGGTCAATACAACATTGGTGGTCCAGTTCTGTCCCCAATTCTTCTTCATCGTAATCCATCCGGTTCTGCTTCTTTTAATCTGCATGGCCTTAATATCTCCAGCCCCTCCTACATTGTACGGCAAGATCATTAAGAAATAACGGTTTCCCTTGATTTCGAACTTGACACCGCCGGTTTTCACACAAGGAACACGTCTGTATCTAACCGGAATAACCCCGGCTTTGTACTTGGCGATCTTGAGGAACATTGGTAGGGAGAGATCAAAGTGTTTCTGTGGTGGGTTGCACCAAATGTCTGTCTTCTTGGTGTAGTTTGCTGGACAGAAATTTGTAGCTGTAATCTTAATGGATCCGGGCAAACACCATTTTGGATCCTGCGTGCACATGATCTCGAAACAAGCCCCGCACGTGTACCCATTGTTGAAGAGTGCTGTGCTCAACGCTGCCGTTGCTAGACCATAGCCTTGTTTGTTTAGATTACCATATCCACAAGCTCCCTCTATTGAATTATATAATGGAAAAAGTGAGTTAATAATTAATAGATATGGCTTTGTTTGTTTGTTTACTTTTGTGTTTGCATGTTATAATATAATTTTTTAAAACAAAAATTAAACACATGAATTGTAATTTATATGTATTTTAAACAAGGGGTCCCTTTAAACATTTTCCTTGGTCAGTTGTAAATGCAAACGCACGTAAGAAGAAACTACGTTACGTTGGTAACTTGGTGTTTGTGTTATACTCTGTAAGAATGTTTCATGAAAAAAAATATAGTTTTATCTAAAAAAGAAAAAAAATGTAAATGCAATCACAGTTGCAGAATTAGCATTTAAAACACTCGCAACCTATACAATATTGAATGAATCATGTTTGAATGTGTACAATGTGACACTGGAAATATATATTGGAACCAAACTTTCGTGTATATTGTGACATTGGATATTTTAATATTAGTAATTTGTTTTGCAAAATTTCAGTCAGATTGAACCAATGCCACTAAAGTAGCATAATGTTGTTGTTGTTGTTTTCTTAAACAAAAAAAAATATCTCAATAATTAGAATATAAAATATTAGGAATTGAATAACTTACGTTGAGTGCCTCCACCATGAATGTCACCGTAAAATGTGGCTCGTGCGTTATCCCAACCATTGTTGAAGGCGTCACCTCCAAGTGAATTGGCTGCATCACCATTGGTTGGTGCCTCGGCTCCATAACCGTAACTCATGGTCACGAACCATATCGCCGTTACCATCATCAAAAAATTTACATATATCATTTTTTTTATAAGAGTTAAATGATTTTATTTCTTTATGTCGATACTTTCTTACTTATTTTTTATTGTGATTAATATCAATGGGAATGTGTGGACATACTTTATATAGTTAGAGATATAGAATTCACTATGGTAATTATGTATATTCGTTTTCAAATCATTAAATGCTTAATAATTGTACTATTGAATATTTTGTAGTCAAACTCTGGTAATTATATAAATTCATTTTCAAATCATTAAATGCTTAATAATTGTATTGAACATTTTGTAGTCAATCATCTTGATAACATTGCCAATATATATTTTCGAATAAAATGGAACGATGTTGATCGTTTAACCAAAAAGATGATTGAAAACAAACTTTTTGTCTAGATGGTGATAAAAGTGCGTATTTATATAGGAATTTAAAAAAAAAAATAGGAATTTTAAGGAGCAAATGATTCTTTTTTGTCTCGATTCTTGTAACAAAACTTTTCTTAACTTAAATGCAAGAAAACCATTTAACAAGATGGTTGTTTTTTAAAAATTTCGTATGTACGTTCGAATATTAGCTGGATACGTTTCTTTGCCTTTTCTAGAAGAAATGAGAATGAAGGAAAATGTATGAAATTTCTTATAATTGTGTTTCTATTTATAATGTGGCAAATATTTCGCCTATATAAGAAAAATTAAAGAAAAAATGAGGCTTGGTTATTTAACGATAACCAATCTTTCGACAGACATAAACGAAGCCTAACGATCAACTTGTTAAATTGTGTCTATGGACTATGGTCATTTGAGAGAAAGGGTTACTGTCGATATTGGTTTAAGTCTAATTCAGGTTTTAATTCATTTGGTTCAGGTTTATGATCAAATTGAATTGAACCGGAGGTATTGGAGTCTGGTTTGACTTCGGATTAGATGCCGGTTATTGGATACAAGAGGCGACGTCGTTTAGCTCTGTTTGAGCTGGTTCAAGAGCTGAGTCTCGAAGATGACCGTTAGAGTCGGTGTGTGTTGCGAGCTGAATCTTATTACGGTAGTTACAGGTTGGTGAGCGATATATGTAATTTCGGGGATTCTTTTCTTGGGTAAGGAAAGGATTCATTAGATAATATTGGGTGAGAGATTTCTTTTAGGTTTTGGGAATGAGAAGCTTGTGATTTTTCTGGTGTGTGAGAGTGAGTTTCTCGGGAAGTTTTCGGTGTAGCGTAGTCTTGTATCGGATCTATTCTTTTAGTGGATTCTGGAAAAATCCTCGGCCAGACGTAGGGTTGCGATTTGCATCTGAACTGGATAAATTTGGTGTGCATTTATATTTTCTGCAATCATATCTTCCTGATTTACATTTTGTTGATCGATCGAAATCAAGGTTCAAGTGTGAGTGATCGGAGAGGTTTTACAACAATTACCTTTCTGGATTGATGTAAATAACGGCTCTTGTCGACATGTTATATACTTTATGTAACAAATTTATACTATAATAATTATTTTTTAAGAGTTCTTAATTAGACAAGTATGTGGATTTTGGGCAGTCGTTTTAGTTTGACAATGAAAATATTTGTGGTCCGATTAAAAGTTTAAGAACACGCATTTCTACAAGCTTATTTATGATTTTATTTCAACATTAATTACAATTCCCACTAAACCTAATTAGAAAGCGTGGAGGATCATTTTTCTAATCCCAACTGTATATTTTTGTCATCAACCTTAGTAGGTTCTTTTAAACTCGTTTTTTATTTAATTTTGATTTTTGTCAAAGTAATTTGCGGAAGTGATTTATTCATCAGCTTAAAGACACATATATATACACGTACATTAGTCAACCTTGAGTTAGAAACTAGCAATGTGGGACAAATTACTCTAATAATTCTAATAACTAACTATACATGGCCCAATAAGCCTAATATCTCCTAATATCTCTTAATACCCCTCCCCCCTCAAGTTGGAGCATGGAGATCTCGAATGCCCAATTTGCACAAAATTCCTTTGAACAGACGTCCTCCAAGTGCTTTAGTGAAGATATCCGCCAGCTGTTGAGCAGTAGAAACATGTTGGGTCAGAACAATTCCAGCCTGTATATCGTCTCGAATGAAATGACAATCAATCTCCACATGTTTCGTTCTCTCATTTAACACAGGATTAGCTGTAATATGAAGCGCAGACTAGCTGTCACAATATAAATCCATTGGACCAGAATGTGCAATACCCATCGTTAACAACACACTCTTTAACCACTTCAACTCCTTCAATGCCAAAACCATAGCTCGATACTCTGCTTCAGTTGAAGAGCATGATACAACATCTTGCTTCTTTGACTTCCATGATACAGGAGAATTTCCCAATTGTATCAACCATCCACTCAAAGATCTCCTCGTGATTGGACATCCAGCCCAATCTGAATCACACCAAGCTGTAGATGAAAATTACAATCAGATTTCACAAATTCCCATTTCCGGGCACTCTTTCAAG